GAAACAATAGCATAAGCAATAACATCCGGGTAAGGGAAACAATATCATCCCGGCAAGGGAAACAATATCATAAACAATAACATCCCTGCAAGGGAATGACCAATAGAAACAAATACATCCCGACAAGGGAATCAACAATAATAAATCTCGTTCCAACACTTAACTTCACAAAATGAATCCCAACTTGAGTCAATACTCAATGACGATCAAATACCAAGGAATTACCAAAGCATGGTCCAACATGAATACTCATCAAGTCAAGCATGAATAGTACATAATAAGAATCACGAAAAAAAAAACAAGAAGCACACTAACCTTAACAAAGCAACAAGACATAATAAGCACGTGATAATTATATCGGTAACCACAACAAATGGACATGTAACATATTTGCACGAAGTCATAGAGGAACTCACAATCAAGCAATAAGGAAGACAATCACTTCAATTAAGGCAATTAGGGGTCAAGTAACACGTAAGAATTAGAGGAAAGCTAGCAACATCATATGGAGCATATAGATCATCCTTTCTCGAACCGTCAACATTAGAGCATTGATTCAATCCTGAACTACCGCACCCCGCGATCTTTGACTGTCGCTTCTTCAATACTATCTCACAATATCCCGCCCCAAAGGCAAATTGAAGTAAACTATAACACCGGCGAACTTAACATATTCCATCGAGGACGACGACACCGCGTTGCAGATAAAAATTCCACCACACTTGAAAACACCAAGTCTCGTTATTCCATCGATCCAAATCTAGACATTCATAAGCCGATTGCTCTTCTCCGCCGGAAATGAAATAACGAATCTCATAATCATGCAATGAGTAGACCTCCTTTCAAGTCATACACTACTTCCACGCATGGACACACATCCCACCATCACATCAAATACCGTGCGATAACCATTCATGAGCATCATAGCAACCTGTGCATAGCCTCAAAGCTTTCGGGAGTGCAGCTACCGAGCTGAAATGACAAAATATCCTTCCGCCAGGCGATGACAATAGCCCAACCAACTATGCCGGGAGAAACACCCCGCACCACATCTGTAGTACCTTTAAAATTTCTCAATTCCCGATTTATAATAAGCGCTATGCGTCGCATAAGATCGATTGGGAAGGAAACAAAGGCATAAGCCTCAAAGGAGTCAAATCGCACGATGAGGAAATCAAGAAGGGAAGTGCTCCTAACGGCCCTGTAGCCTCCCGAAGATAAGTACATACGTCTCTGTACCGATCCGTGAGATTCTACTAGACTTGCTCATGACTCGTGAGACCTAAGAGAACCTAGTTCTCTAATACCATGTTGTCACGACCCAAAATCCACTAAGGGTCGTGTTGGCGCCGGACACCACTGTCAGGCAAGCCAACCATAAATACTTAATTAAATTCTCGTTTTAATAATTTTGATAACTATGACTTTCCTTCATTTTTTTCTAGAAAAAGGGTACTCATTTTAATTAGATAGAAATTTAAGAATTTAATACAAGATACCCCATAATCGTCCCAGAACCCGGTGTCACAAGTGCATGAGCTTTACTAGGGAATGAAATAAAATACAGTAACTGTCCGGAATACAAGGTGGACAGAAATGAAAATACGGTACGATACTCTGAAGGAGACTCTGGTGGCATGCGGGTCATCTCGAGAGGTGCAGCTCACCTAAGTCTCCGTATCAACCATGCTGCTACCCCCACTAGGCCGCTAGAGATGCATGTGCCTGTGCAACAAAATGCACAGCAAGTGTAGCATGAGTACGAAAACAACGTGTACTCAGTAAGTATCCCGCCTAATCTCGAAGAAGTAGAGACGAGAGGTCGACTTCGACACTTACTAGTGGTCCAATAATGATACGTCAATAATATAATTAATCGAGAATTATTATAAACATGACTGTGATTCAATAGAATGAAGCAAGTAAATGATTTTTTCTTTATTAGGAAATTCCCGAATTCCTTTTTCATCATTTATACATATATTCTCAAACCGAGAAGAAACAATATCTACTTCAATAAATTTCAAGGCAAGCAATACAAGCATGCGCAAATCATGCCAAGGACGTACGACCCGATCCAACAATATTTAAAATGTGCACTGCCAGAGGGTCGAATGGCGCGAACCATAGATGCATCTATTTAATCTACAGAGGCGTTCGGCCCGTTCCACAATATATAAACACATTCAAACAGTCAATCAAGAACTCATCAAGGAGCAATTTATCCAAAGAGAAGCCAATTATCTTTTAACAATTCCAGAAAATGAAGTTTAACCTTTTTAGAAATTCATTTACTAATTCGGTGAGATTTAAGCAAAACTGTCAATAAGATTACAAATATTCCAAGTATAGCATGCTTTTGGGTCCTAGACTATCCGGACTTAAACATAATAGTAGCTACGCACGGACTCTCGTCACCTCGTGCGTACGTAGCCCCCACAAATAGGAGCACAAATCCAATTAATTAACCTATGGGGACAATTCTCTCTTACAAGGTTAGAAAGGAGACTCACCGCTGCGAAGTTCCATAACCGGTAATCCACGCCCTTCCAAAGACTCAAATCGATGCAAAATGCTCCAACACTAGCCAATAATTATGTAAACCCATTAATATGAGATCAACTGCTCATTTTAATCCAATTTATAACAATTCCTAACCCCGATCGAAAAGTTGACAAAATCACCCTCGAGCCCACGTGCCCGGATTCCAAATTTTTTTTGAAGATAAACCTTATCCATAACCTCACGAGCTCAAATATATAATTTACTCTTAATTTCATGTCCAAAATCGTGGTCAAGATCCGAAAATACCAATTTTCTAGGTTTTTCCCTCAACCCCAAGTTTTCCACTAATTTTCATGTTAAAATCTACACATAATCAATGTATTTAACTCATAATAGGTAGGATTAACTTACCTCCAAGTTACTAGGTGGAAGCCCCTCTCAAGAAGCTCCAAAATCGCCCCAAAATAGAGAAAAATGAGCAAAAATGGCCAAACCCCGCTATTTAATGTATTCTGCCCAGCAACATCCGTACCTGCGGACTCCTCGCCGCTTCTGCGAGTCCGCATCTGCGGAACCTCCATCGCACCTGCGCCAATAACCGCTTCTGCAGTCCTCCATCTCGCTTTTGCGCTTGCGCAGATGCGGCTAATGCCCCGCATCTGCAGTCCTTCCCTTAGCTGCCCCATTCCGCTCCTGCGACTCCCAGGCCGCTTCTGCGGCTCCGCACCTGCGGCCACAACCTCACAGGTGCGGTTACACCAGATATCAGCTGCCTCAGTTTTTCTTCAAATTCAAAGTTCGAGCCGTTAACCACCCGGAATCCACCCGGGGCCCCCGGGACCCCGTCCAATCTCACCAACCAGTGCCAAAATATATTACAGACTTGCTCGAGGCCTCAACTCATATCAAACAACGCTAAAATCATGAATCGACCACCAATCCAAGCTTTATGAACTTTAGAACTTCAAACTTCTACGGTTCGATGCCGAAACCTGTCAAATCACGTCCGATTGACCTCAAATTTTGCACACAAGTCATATTCGACATTACGGACCTACTCCAACTTCCGGAATCGAAATCCGACCCCGATATCAAAAGGTCCACTTCCGGTCAAACTTCTCAAAAACCTTCAAATTTCTAACTTTCTCCAAATGACTCCAAAATGACCTACGGACCTCCAAATCCACTTCCGATCGCGCTCCCAATACCAGAATCACCGTACGAAGCTACTCCCAAACTCGGAATCTCAAACGGACATCGATAACACTGAAATGCACTTCAACCCAAATTTATAAAATTCTTCCGAAATGCTAACTTCCACAATAGGCGCCGAAACGCTCACGGGTCATCCAAAACCCGATACGGACATACGCCCAAGTCCAAAATCGTCATACGAACCTGCTGAAAATTGTCATACGAACCTGCTACATCCAAAACCCTAGTTTTTTTTTTCGGTTCAGCTGATTGTAACTTTTGGGTTCAAATCTTCAAATCCAAGCCCAAAAGTAATTCAATCTCATAAAATGAAGAAATCACAAATTGCAGAACCAGAATCGACAACGAGAACAAGGAAATCAAAGTTTCTAAATGAAACAGTGATGAACGAGGCATACGATTTTTGTTTTAGTCACAAACAAATCGGATGAACAGTAAACTTGCTATTTTTGGATTTTCTATTTTTTTTTAATTTTCAGATTTGTTGATAATCAAAACAAAGACCATAGGATTGATAAAACAATCCAAAATCTTCGCTCTGATACCAAAATAAGAGCTAGACCTAAAATTGATTGGAAGAACAAGAACCAATTATAATAAAAAACCTAATTACCTCTATGAACTCAATCAATTGTTACCCTAAACTATGAAATAAGAGTTAGACCCACAATTGACTGGAAGAACATGAATCAATTAGGATATGAAGCTTAATTACCTCTATGAACTCAATCAATTTTAACCCTAAGCTATGGAATCCTCAAGAGATTGGCAACTCTTGAAACCCGAATAAAGTAATTAAGCAATTAAGCATTCACTACTAATTGCTCACCAACTAAGACTAATTTAACACTAATGAAAGCAATAGAGAAATTAAAGACATAGACATAAATGCATTAATTAAAAGATACGGATAAATGGTGAGACTTGCATGTCTTCAAGTTTATCATTCATCAAGTCTACCTAAAATAAAAGCCTTAAGGGCTATTTATACTAGAGTGGGTATTTGGCTACAAATGACCCAAAGCTATTTATACTAGAGTGGGTATTTGGCTACAATAACCCAAATACCCCTAAGTTAATTCTAAGGAGCTTAGTCAATTATTACAAGTATAACCTTCTTGATCTTGACTCCTTTAAAGCACTCCAATTCAATGATGTTGACTTGGAAATAGTTAGGCATGCTCATCCGGCATGTATCACAAGGCCTGACAAGTCATTGTACGAATTGGTATTTCAGAACATATCGGGCAGCACAAGAAGACTACAACAAAGCGTCAAACTGGATTATTTAGGTAATGTCAAAGTCAGGAACAGAACAAGAAGAGGGCTTGGTGAAACTCAATTGCAGGAACTCGGGTATGTACTTTAGTGAAATTTATAACTAGATGCGACACAACACTTACATCGAGCCTTACAGTTTGAAAGTTGAAGGTTCTCTCTTTAGGAAGTGGCGCAATATAAATGCCATACAGAATATTCCAACACAGATGAAGCATCATAAATATCAAGAGCATATAACATTCCATTGAATGCAAACTTTACTGTACATGGAAGGAATGAGAATATCCATTAAATTCATTGTGTGATTTGTATCGAGAAAGAAGTCCAAAATTTATAACTCTCTTACAAACTCAAATTACCTCTTGAACAAACACAGATTACCTCTTTGGTCAAACAAAAGAATTTAATCCCCCTCACTGTTGCCCAAGGTATACGGATAAGCAAATAAACGTTAGTTCAATAGACAAATCGTAAAATAATTTCGAGCCCACTAAATTTACAGTGTGTCCTTAAGGAATTTAATCCTCCTCACTGTTGCCCAAGGTATACGGATTCATTCCTCCATGGATAGAACAGAATAACTATTCTGTGATTGTGGCACTTCAAATCACAGAACTTCAGCAAACTCAACAAACGGAGCAAATCACACTTTACACTTATGTTTATTTACAAAATAATGCAACAATGTAGAAAAGAGGGGAGAAGATTTCAGATTTTTTCATCTCTAAAAATGAGGCCAAGCCTCTAAATTCAAAGATAAAGAAAGGGTGAGATGGAGGTGTAATCCAAAAGGTGCCTCTTCCATTTCTCATTCACACCCTTTAAAGAAAAACGCAACAATCCCCCACATGAATGGGGAATGGACATATGGGAAAAAAATATGCATGAAAATACTGTGTGATTCGCAAGTAATGATTAATCGCATCCGGATAAGTAGGTTTCCCTTTGAACTTTCCGTACTGAACTTATGTCGGATATACCCGGTTCACATTCCATTTTATACGGATAAATATTGTAAAAGAATTCAGCATTATCTGATTCAATTACCGTATTAATATGAATGTCGGGATTTTCTGATTTATGAGCCAAAATGATATGTCTTACTATTTCTTGCATATCCTACGAAAATGCGATCAATAATTTTCGGTCAGATCTTTATCCCTTTGGGTTTAGGTACTTACACTTTAGCTAAGTACCCCCACACTTTAAAATATTTAAGTCGGGCATCCTTCCATTCCATTTTTCCATATGGAATGGATTACGTCTCGCTATGGGGAACTCGACTGGGTATACGGTTATTTGAAAGAATAACTTTTCCCCCACAGGTTCTGGGGTAAACCAGAACTTATCAACAAGGCATTCATCATCTCCTTTAACGTTCTATTCTTTCTTGATGCTATTCTGTCACGACCCTAGTTCACCGACTGTGAACATGTCATGACGGCACCTAGTCCCCACGACCAGGTAAGCCTAATATTGCGTAGATATAATAATTGCGGAAAAATAGAGAAAACCAAATTAAATACTAAAAGAAACTGTACTGAATGTCGCTCGGCATGTACAACTCAATATCACAAGTTCAAAACAAATCCCCAAAACCCGGAAACTCACGGGCAACACAGGCTACAGAAGCGAAAAGTAAAGGCTCCAAACTCCAGATTATCTAACAACCGGAAGAAGAAAAACTAAGTACTAGAGATAGAGTAAGAGGGAGACTCATCGGTCTGCGGACGCAGCAGATCTACCTCGAAGTCTCCGTAGTCCTCCTGCCTCACTGATAGTGCGCTTGAGTAGAGGTACCTGGATGATCTGCACATGAAAAACATGCGCAGGAAGGGCATGAGTACACCACAGCGGTACTCAGTAAGTGCCAAGCCTAACCTCGGTTGGGTAGTGACGAGGAAGGTCAGGGCCATACTGAGATAAAATATAGTAATAACAATAATTAACAGTATGATAATCTGACAGAAATAATAAATACAGCAGTGAAATAAGACAGGTTAAACAAGGCAATAGCAAATACACAAGAACGGAACAACCACAGAATAAGTACAGCTCAATACCAATGGTAACAATGAGGATCTCCCAGGATACCGTCCTGTAGTCCTTTTCTCAACTGCCCAGTGGATCTCCCGGGATACCGTCCCGTAGTCCATCATATGTGTATATCCGAAGGATCTCCCGGGATACCGTCCCGTAGTCCAACTATCAATGTGCAGGGGGATCTATCGGGAATCTAACCCGCAGTCCCAAAGTAAAAGTGCAGGGGGATCTACCGGGAATCNTTCAGAAGGGACACAGTAGAATATATAGTAGAAGAACTTAACCAAGGTTCAGAAGAGAGAAATACTAAAACACCTAAGAATGCAGTAGAAAAAACCTGTTTTAAGAAGGTCCTTTTTAGAAACTCAACATGGTTCAGCGGAAGGCAAACAAAGAGACTTAAGAACTTAGTAAAAGAAATACAGTAGGAGAACACAAGAACACTGGAAAAGTATAGCAAAAGAGCACATAGGAAAACATAGTGAGATAAACATGTGAGCATGGTACAGAAACACAGTAGGAAAAAAAATAAATATAGAAACACAGAAGAACATGCGTGGTAAAAGGAGACATATGAAAGCAGTAGCAAACAAATACACACAAGGAAAAGGGGAAGAAAAGTCAGAGAAACATTTTAAGCATTTTAGAAAACCCTAAATCGAAAAGAAGTGATTTTAAAAGTAATTTTGAAAGAAAAGTTGGGGACATCATTTAAAACCCCAAGTAGAGCATAGATACGTGACAGATTCTAAGAAAAATCAAAGAGAACCTCGAATATCCAGGGTTTTAGAAGAACCCTAGAATGAGAAAGGCTTGGAAAAGGTCCGATCTGAACCGGATAAGTCAGAACTACGCTCAAAACACCATTGTACGCTGGAGCATGGCCGGAGATGGCCGTAGAACCTTGAGTTTGCAAAGATCTGAGCGAAGAACTTCAAGGTCAGACCTAGAATCTCCAAGTATCAAGTGTATAAGAGCACAGGGAGGTGAGCGTGGGGTTCTCATGGCCTGGGAAGCCATGGATCCCGGTGAGTTTAAGGTAGAAGACGGTGAGAGGGGCTAGGGTTTCGAGAGAGTCTAAGAGAGGAAAGGATTTCAGAGGCGGCGGGTTAAGGGGAAATGATTTTAGGGTTGGGTGTTTGTAAAATTAAAAAGGAAAGGAATGATTATGGCCGTTGATCAAAATGATCAACGACCTGGATCGAAAAGGGAGGCCGGGCGGGTTAGATTAGTTGGGTCAGGGGCGGGTAATTTAGAAATTGGGCCGGTCCGTTTGGGGTTTGAAATTGGGTTAATTGGGGGAATTAATTTGGGCTACAATTGAAACAAAATGGGGCCAGATTTTAAATAGCCACTTTTCCCCTTTTTATTTTATAAAAATAGTAAAATGAATTCTGAAAATAAATTGAGGTGCTAATTCAATTAATAATATATAAATATTAATTTAAAAATATTGGAACCAATTTCATAATTGTAAAATGCTATTAAATCTTAAAATAGGCTAAAATTGCAATTATATGCAATTTAGCTTTTAAAAATACCAAATAAATTTGTAAAAAATGTATAAAAATTACCTTAGCTATATTTTGGTGTAAATATGAGGATATAAGTGAATCACCGAAAATGATAATTTTGGAAATAATTATTAGTTTTGTACTGTTAAAATATGGCAATAAATGGGTTTAAAAAATCTTTTAAAAATTAGGAAAAATACTAAAACATTTGGACACACTTATATATGCATATATATACTATTTTGAAATTATTTTGCATATAAATATACAAAGAAAAGTTGGGTATCAACACTAACTATATCCGGTTCAAACAAAACCCTTGGAAAAGAACCCCGACACAAAGAAAAACAAAGGGGGAATTACTACACTACCTACAAAGAAAATCTTTTTTTTTAAAATATTTTTTTAGACTTAAATCCCTCAAGAAAATTTTCTAATTGATCCATCATCGGGAAAAGTCCAATCTTTCTTTATTTTTTTTTGTTTTTTCTAAAAAATAAAAAGATTATTAAATTAAACTAACACAACTTAAATAGCATAGAAATTAAAGTTACCGAGACAATCTCCTCACCCCACACTTAAAATTGTGCAATGCACACTATATCTAATAAGAGGGTAAAAGAAACTCCATGTAGGCCGAAGGCCGAAGCACTAGCAGCTAATGGGGTACTCTGACTTCTCCCAGGCCTGGTCCTTCATGCGGATGCATCACACTTAGTTCCAACCATCTGGTTTGCTGTTGCATCCTTCCAATAACTGCTTTCCATGCTCCTAGAAAATAAAAGATCGACACTACAAAAATAATACGATTAAAAAAAAACAAAAAAAAAACAAAATAAAAGAAAGCAGTATAGTTGGGTTGGCTCCCAACAAGCGATTGATTTAATGTTGCGGCACGACATGAATCACTTTCTGCCTCCACTTCGAACTTATGAATTGGACCCCAAGTTTTGATTCTGCTCTATGATCATGCTCCTAGGGTGATACAAATTGTTGCGAGCCAAAAATTAAATGATACTTTATGAAATTTTTGGCTTTCAACCAAGGAATGTCACTTTGCCTAGACGGCCTTAGAAATTTCAAAATATAGGGCTCATCTACCTCTTCCTTTGACTCTTGCATTGGCTCATACGGCTCAGTTTCCATTTCACCATCTTAACATAATGTAGAGAAGTGTTTGGAATGAGGTCCAACGTGCTCAAATACATGAACTTCAAGATTTTCAACCTCCTCAACACCAATCACACTAGAGTCAACTAAATTTGTATCTTTAACGTCCCTAGTTGACTCTAGTATTACTTCTTCAACATCGGTATCCTAAAATTCTAGTTGGTTAGAGTGTTGGGGTTCTACTTTGGACCCCTCCATTAGCACCTCAATTTCCATCTCTAATGCACACTGCTCCTGGCTACAATCCATAGCATATTGAGCATTCAAAGCTTCAACTAGTTGACTCACTTGAGCCTCCAAGTTGCGAATCTTTGCATCTTGCCTTTGTACCCGCAGTTGTATCTCATCATATTGTTCCACAAGGCACTTTAGCATATCCTCGATGTTTTTCAGGTCATCATCCCTGAGTTCTTTGTTCCTATTAACTTCACAAGAAAAAGAAGAACCATCAATGTAAGGGGTTGGGGGAAGATAAGAAATATAAACACAACCATGAAAGTGACCATCTTGACCACCACACATATCGCATACATTCCACACATAAGATTGAGTTGGTGCACATAACTCGCTCTCGGGAATATTTGATAATTTTGCCATGGGTGGTTTT